ACACGCGTAAGGTTTCACAACCTTTTTTCTTTATATATTTTTTTCATTAAACATTTATAGTGTATAAGTGCAAATACGTCGTGTGTTAGCCGTACATTGTAGCGTCTGGTCGCTACATCATCCGTACAAATATGAACATATGAGTAATTACGACGAATACACCAAGCGCCTCGCAACGCACAGTCTTCGTAAACGAAGCCTTAATCAATGTCAAAGTCAAAAATCATTTATTTTAATTAGACCCTGGCATTTTTAAACGTCAAGCTAAATTTTAAGGTATATAGTGTCGGTCTGTCGGTCAGTCATCAATAAATACGAGTTACTAATTACTATATAATTTGTTGCATTTTTTTATTTGTTCTTTTTTTTAATATAGATTAAACTTATAGGATAAAGATATTCTATAAGTTTGATTGTTTTTTATTCCAAACTATCGTCATGATCAAAGGACCACTTTGTTATGTATCATTGAAGTCAGCAATTCCACAAAAAATCACGAATCACGAGAGACAAGCGGCGAGTATTTAGTTATTTGCAGTAATTAGGGTCCGTCCACATACTATGTAGTATGTAGTATATAGTATAGGTACTATGTAATCGTTGTTAGCACAATCACAAGAATCGTTCGCCAGTTATCTTGTTCCGGTAGTTGACTACCATTTATAGACCACTTACACGCATGTCAGCTCATTTTAATATGCTTTGACAACACACGAGAAAAAAACACAAAATATAAAACAAAAACGAAACGCGTGTTGGAATTATCGTTTACCTACAAAATAAATACATCTAATAACTTTAAATTGTCAGCGAAACATTTATTAACAAACATTTACCGGGAAATACCGGATAGTTGTTAAGCTACTGAAAAGTTTTTCATTTTTAATATTAATTGTTCATAATAACTGTAGTCATTGTATCTTTCTCTTAAATACATGGAGAGTCGTTAACTGGGCAATTAATTAGCTACGATTGACAAACACTATAAAACCTTAAACAAACATGTAATTTTCACATAGGAAAATATCTAGATTACATAAGATTCACGACATAACATCCATTTTGTAAATAGACTTATTAGCTAAGATTGCCGGACAATCAGCAATTAATTAGTTTAATTGATGTTCAGCACATAGTAGTCGAGCGCAGGCTGGGTACTAGTGAGAGCACGTGGCCCGCGCTGTGCGCTATAATTTTCCTTTCAGGGCACGTTTTAAGATAAACATCGGTGTTGACGATTACCTAGTCACTGTTTTGACATTTTGTCGCTAACGTCCCGTACGATTCTAACGTACTTGTGTTGTTCTTGTTAAACTTGCCTTTGTTATTTCTGCGACAAATTGAATAAATATTTCGTTATGTTTATATGATGGTCTTGGTAGACCGATTCTCAGACTTGGAGGTAAACAATGAACATCACATGACGCCCATTTTTAGTTAATTTATTTCACGTTATAACGAACCTGTTTGCCTAAACTCCGTATGAATGAATTTAAAACAGAAAAATTCCATAATAGACAAGTTTGTCAATCTGTTAGATTACGCAACAGTCATAAAGGATAGTTCGTTTCCTCATTACGTGTATTGGGTCACTGGTCTTGCCGCTCTAATTATTTGATTGCGGAGCCACTTCCACAAACGAGGACTTCGTGGAATCTCCCGTTTCCTATTTAAATGGTATTTGTACGAGACTATTCTATGATGGCTATGACAAGTTAACGACCAATGACCTGAAGGTCTTTTAGATTTAAGTTAGAAAATCCTAATAGAGCGAGCCTCCTCGCTTGGCGAATATAAAGAGGAGTATCAGACTTACTGACAAAAAGCCACTCTCTACTTGTCCCATTGGATATCTTTTAAATTTTTACAGTTTTTATCATATGTTTTTATTGTGATTGGTTTTCACTTTACCAGGAATTCATAAATTGCAGGTGTTGGCGGCACTGGCGGCGCAGTCTATCAACATATCAGTGGGCTTCTGCCAAGGTTTCTCAGCAGTCCTGCTACCCCAGTACACACAGGAACATCCCACGATATCATATGAGCAGAGTTCATGGATCGGTGAGTAAAACTATCAATTTTTATTGGAATGTTAACATTTATTACAATAAATATGATATGGATACCAAGAAACAACCATACTTAAAACATTAAATGACATATTCGTAATTATGTAAATAATATTTGTTTTGTGAATGTATTTGTTGAGAGTTAGCGTGTTCGTTCGAACAATGAGTTTGCAATGATTTGTAAACGTGCGATAATTTGTGAATACGTACAGAGAATACTTTGTTGCTCATCGTCATTATAATGTGACATGAACAAATAAGTTTCAACTACTGCAGTGTGTAGTAGGAGCCTAATGAGGCGTCACCTCTATTATCCTTTCATTTTTTCGAAGAGTAAACAAAAACAAAGAGATTGAAAGTGATATTACCTATCTGTCGCACTGAATGAACACTGCGAAACAATGTTTACATTTTATTTTGGGATCGGAGGGCGATGCCAGGGCGATACACGTGAGCTAGCTCAATGAGGCCGCTAAAAATATAGCTCACTCACATAGCACGTTTCAATGAGATTTAGCTGTGGAAACAAATGACCGGCGTCTGTAGTTACGTCAAAAAAGGTTATTGAAATTTTAAAAACATAATGACACAAGTACTAAACAAAGGATGCATTCGGAACAAAGGACCAAACCAAAAGTTTTTATTTCCTAAGAAATGTCAAACATTGTAGACTATTTATTCCCAATATAAATATTAATAGAGCAACACTTTGTAGACATCGGAAATTAAATATTGACGCAAACTGCCGACGTGCGCAAATGAGATAGCGTTAGCACACAGTCAAACACATCATTTGTACTAGGAGATAAGTAACACGCGGAGCAGGGGTCGTAAGCCTAGGGCCTTATTGCTGATCACGCTCAACGCGAACCCTATAACAAGTTACGATTATGAACTGTTTAAGGAGGCAGAAGATGTCTTAGATATGGCTCAAGAATTTTGGGATCGAGAGTTTAATATGTCTGATACTGAAGACAAGCAGTTTCCTATAATCCTCATTATCTTTATTTACAGCGAGTTTGGGTGTTATATCAAACCCCATCGGAGCCCTACTAGGCGGTATGATGGTGGATGCCGTGGGGAGAAGATTACTACTACAGTCCATTGTGTTGCCCAATTTGGTCGGGTGGCTCGTCATCGCATTCTCCGAGACCTACATCTTCCTGTGCATAGGGAGGTTCATCACCGGCTTTACTATCGGTCAGTTGCAATTCTTTACATTTTAATAAATAAACTTTCTACTTATATTTCTTAGTTATTTGAGAAATCATATCTACAATATGTAGTTTAATTTTTAACATAACTAAAGGAAAAACAGCGTGAAGTATCGGAAGAACACCTAATTGAAAAGTAGACAAACGAACCGTATCCACTCACACTATCAGCGTCTCTAATAACGTTAACTGTTTCAATTACAGGTATGTCAACGGTCTCCTACATCTACGTGGCCGAGATCACCACGCCAGAGAAACGTGGAGTACTCAGTGCCCTAGGACCTGGGCTGGTGTCTACAGGCATTTTCATCGTCTACTCATTGGGAGCCTTCGTCCACTGGAGGAAAGTCGCAGCTATATGCGCCGGCGTATCCCTCCTCACACCATTCCTAATGTACTTTGTACCCGAGTCCCCTCTGTGGCTCGCCTCAAAAGGACAAATGAAGGAAGCCTACAACGCAATGTTCTGGCTTCGACAAAATAACAGTACTGCGCAACAAGAGCTGATGGAGTTCACTAAGGACAGGAAAGTCGGGGAAAAAATGACATTCACACAAAAACTTAATCTCTTTACGAGAAGAAGCGTCGTTAAGCCTTTCCTTTTATTAATAATTTTCTTCATTTTCCAAGAAATGTCTGGCATTTACGTCATCCTGTACTATGCAGTGGACTTCTTCAAGTCTGTGGGGACCAGTGTCAATGAGTTCACGGCATCCATTATAGTGGGTGGAGTACGAGTGTTCATGGGGGCGGTAGGAGCATGCCTCATCAATAGCTTTAGAAGAAAAACTTTAGCAGCCACTTCAGGACTGCTACTAGGTGTAGCTATGCTCGGTGCAGCGGTGTGCGACAGTGTGAACGGGCCACCTCTGGTGAAACTAGCCTGTGTATTACTTCACGTATCTTTCAGTATGGTGGGATTCCTACAACTGCCCTGGATAATGTCTGGTGAACTGTATCCTCACGACATAAGGGGAGTGATGTCCGGTGCTACATCTTGCTGTGCATACGTTCTCATATTCTTTAATATTAAGACATATCCTCAATTAGAAAACCTATTAACTAGTAATGGTACTTTGTACCTCTTTGGAGGCTGTGCACTCCTAGGAGCCGCGTATTGCTACTTCTTCCTTCCAGAAACAAAAGGGAAAACTTTGACTGAAATAATGAGGCAATTTGATGATGAGAAGAAGGAAATTGACCCTGAAATTGGATTTACGAAAGAGAAACCCTGTGCAATAGAAGGAAAACCAGTACAGAGGCGGCACAGTGCAGGAGCTACAATCTCTTTGGAAAAGAACTGGACGCAGGATGAATGCAAGAAGACTTCAGATCACTGCGAGTAACTCTCGCAACTGTATGATAGCCTAGTACTTTTAGTTGTAATGACTAAGTTACCAATGAATTTGTAAAGTTAACTATTTTTAATATTATATTGTAATGTTTGTGAAGTTGTGATCAGTATTAATTAGGATGTTTTTTAAACTTTTGATAATGTTACATTCCACTAGTGATAAATAATTTTAAATACAAGGTGACGACATAGGTATACTTACACGATAAAGTTTTGCCTAGTTTTAAGTACAAATATTGGAGTAACAAAACCGAGGCAATCATGTGATTAATAAAGTAATTATTATTTTTATAACGCGCAGTTAGGTAGATGATATTTTTGTATTGTTATATTGATAATAAGCATTACTATTTATTATCCCTCTTAGCAGATGTAGGCCAATAGTATCATTGAGCTGTGTACAGGGTGAATGAATTTATTGTAATAAAGTAAATGGGTGGACTTACATAATATTATTGAAAGATAAATGCTGTGATGAAGTGTGAATAAAGGAGTGACTTGTTTACAATGTTTGTTTCATTTTCTATAATTAAGTGTATAGGTGTTGACCTGGATGGGCTGGATACGATAAGATATGAAATGCGGTCAACGTTCAAGAGCAGAGATAGTAGAAGGGAGCAAACAGAACAGACAAACAGACAAACATTCATCAGTGATGTATTTGTATGATTTAAGTGAATAGCATGCTCACAATCTCCGAGGCGGACATTATTAATTTGGCACATAAAGACCAGAATGTGATACATATAACCATTCTTACACGATTCTATCAATTTGACAATAACTAAATAATAACCTCATTTGCTAAAATGGAAATAACTAAAAAGGAGTTTCCGTTTCGAAAGGAATATTATAAATCGTGGTTTTCTTTTTCCAATTCTCATTATTGACACAGTCTGGATTATTACCAGTAAATATCAATTTCCTCCTATTATAAAAACCCTAAACACAGACAGACGAGGAGGACCAACCTATTAATTGCAGAAATATACATAATAATATCTATTATCTTGTTCTATAAGTATAAAACGAATTTGTTATGATGCCACTAGCGCCATCTATATTATGTCTCAAAAACCTCCGTCGTGTTGAGTTTTGCTACCAATGAAGGTTCGATGGTAAAGCCTTTTAATACACTAGTCGTACACTAGGTGGCAGCACATTGTGTTAAGTTGCTCACAGGTTACTTTTTTAGTAATTTTTTATTGTAACTGAAAGATTATGTACATATTTTTACAATTCGAATATTTTCGTGTAAGCCAATTTTTGTAAGTCAAGATTTGCTTTTTGCGCGATGGATAAGTATGTTATTATAATACTTACCTACTCAATACTAATATACCAAACATTTCAGGAATTTCAGTGCTGGAAAATAATCACAATAAGAAATAGACTTACCTGGACTGCGGTATTCCATATTTGATGCCAACGCCGACCCTTGGCAGCGCCTTGATCACCTTTTTAACCGTTGCCTGGTCGGGGAATGCGAAGAATATGGAGGCTGTAACATTATAAAAATCTTTTATGTGTCGTGTAAATTGTTGTCACTACACCGAGGACGGGCAGCAGCGTCGCCGATGTGGACATTGAGAGGGGGACATTGATAGCACAGTACATGCAGTTACTTTGTGTACATCTAGGACCACATAACTTTTGGTCCTTTTGTACGCACATTAGTAGTTGAAGAAGTAAGAGGTTAGTTTATAAGTTACATATAGTACAGTGACAGGTGTGTAAAGTATCGCATTTTTACGCTTTTCAGAGCGTGTGTGAGGGGAGTACTGCCTTGTGCCGAGCCAAGCGCGTGCGCACCAGTTTTAATTGGTTTTCCCAAGAAGAAGCGGTGTTAGCGCACGACATCGAATATACTCTGTCTTTCACTGTTATAAATATCCCTTCATGTTACTTTTTCTTTTACTGCTTATTTTTCGAATAGATTAGATATCACACATAAACCTAAGTCTAGTTAGTCAAATTATTTCTTACATTTCTTCTAGGGTCCAGGTATTGTTGTTGGAACTTAGCGAACATGGATTGATTATACTTACTCCTGCTGGCGAGGAACATCTCGATGGCAACATTCTGCAGCAGGTATCTCCGGGAGAATATCGCCCTGATTTCGCTGAAGTACCATTTGCCGTGCAGGTGCTCGCAGTATTTCAACACCTGGAAAAAGGAAAAAAAAATTAATTAAATAATTAAATGGATTTTAAAATACCAAGGGAGTAAAGTCAAGGTGATAAACTAGGGATCAATTAAAATAAACATCAACGATTATTAACTTCGTACACTTTAGTTATAACTCGTCCACAAGATGGCGTTAAAAACGAAAATAGTCGTACCAAGAATAAAGGGCCAGTCGTAAAAGTAAGAAACACGTCGGGTCGTAAAAAGTTCGTTAGTTTTAATTTATACGTACAATAATTGTGTAAATCAAGTCTCTTACTTGTCCGGTATATTGTTTTAATGTGTGTTCAAGCGTTTAAATAATGTCGTCCCATGTTAATTTAGACTTCCGTACAACTATCGCTTATGTATGTGTATACCTGTTCGATGAAGTTTTTCTATGTGGCGTGATTTATGAAATATATAAGGACATTAGTTGACTTGAATTTATAGGCTAAGATATTTTCACGTCAACTGACATTCTCTTCCTGTGTAAATGAAATATAGACACCATCTACATAGTTGAGTACCTAGGGTATAAATTAAAGGCTTGCTCTTGGTCTAGCTCGTAAATCTAGACTGCAGGAGAAGTGCAGAGTTGGCAACGAGCCGACATGTTGAAACCGAGCTGACGTGTTAGTAGCCAGCTATCATCGCCTGTCTGACTGTCTAACCTTGCCTGGCTGAGCAAGCTGTCAGTCAGCAAACAGTTTAATTAATTACCGAATAGTTTTAGGTGATTAGTGATTTATTTCGTCTTGTTGAGTGAGAACTGTAGATACACACATAGAAACTACCAAAACCTAATATTTCACTAATTAATCACTACTTTTTGTACTTGAACATTCTATATTTTACCACCCGCTGAAGTTTGAAAAACCTAACACTATATCTTCTTCGCAATTAACAGCTGACAGAAAAAAGCCTTCCCTCAACTGAGACGTGCATTCATTAGAGTTAGTAATACCGTGACTAATGCGAACACTTAACTATTATTATTCAAGAACCACGAAGAATACGTATTACCCCATTGTAAACAAGAAATGAATAAAAAGAGCATTCACAAATCACAATAAACACAGGAGAGCACGTGTCAGGTCTCCATAGAACCACCATGGATGCGTGGGGTACGGGGCCTGCTAATTGGCAGTCGAGATGGATTGGCGAAAGCACAACAGTGATTGTTATGGTGTAGTTGTATGGGGCGACGTGGGACGGCCCGCGGCGACTACTACCATAGTGAAAAACGCCATGTGCACCTAATATGTGTAATGATTTGGTTTTATTCAGTTCACTGGAGATTTTGTTGTTGAGAGCACATTAACATTGTTGGGATAACATGTGTTAGGTACCTGCATAATACATTCATTAGTCACAAAAAATATTTCATTTAATAATTATATCATGTTAAACGTCTTCAAAAAACGTGGCATTTCTAATGGTTTGACTAAAGTTTTTTTAGTATTTTATTCGTTTATTCTCTTAGCGAATCCGGGTAATATGGTGGAGTGCATCCTGATATTAAGGTTAAATATAATTTTCTTTTATTTTGCACTGATTGAATTAGTTTGTCGTTATTTAGAAAACTTTCAAGTTATTTAGAATTCGCGTTATAGAAAAAAAAACAGCAAATGCTATTGAGACCCATATTAATAGGTACTAGGATAGCAAAAACATGAGGGTGCGTGCGAGTGCAAACGTCCACTTCAATTGTAACGCAATTTGTCAGCCACCCCCTCGAGCATCGGATACCCTGGTACAAAGTGCCTCGGATGTTTAAATAAACATACAACGCTTTGTTTTTTTTATGATGTCATCTGAATAAAGCAATATTCCGATAGACGTTTGAAATTTTATCATTTTAGTATTTTTTTTTTAACTTTGAAATATTTACATGAACTACGTAGAATTAATAATGTGCCAGGCCGCAACTAAGATAATTGTTTACAAACTGTGCAACAAGATTTATTGCTAATAAACAAAACATGCTATAAAATCCGCATGGGAAACTTCCATCGTTTAGTTACCTATTAATCCCCACAAGTTATGCGCGGAGGTTTCTCTATGGACTGTGTATAAACAAGCCGATTATCACCAGGTTCCCATAGCCGGGAGATGGTAGATCAAACACACAGATTTAGATAGGCCACGCTCTTATATTAATAACTGCCAAATTTCCAATCAGTTTTGGTAATCCAACGGGGGATCTTATGGTTATGAACAAGGAATAAATTCGATGCTTAATGCTAAGTCGATGTGATTGTGTGACTGCGAGCTATCCATTAAAACAGGTCAAGTAAACAATTAGTAGTTGTTACAAGTTATTAGTATTTATTAGTACTATTTTGAAATCGATATTCAATCGATTTCAAAATAGAAAGATTACATTAAACATAAAATACGTGATAATTATTATGGACCACATGGCCCCATAAACGAATACGATTCTAAACGAAACGAGGATGGTTGAGAAACAATCATGTCGGACATTTTCGTACACGTTTTAGTGTATTGTATCCAGCGGGATGCAACATGCAGTATCATCATTAGATCATAATGGTGGCTTGTCACGACACCGGGGGATGTAGGGAACCGCGCCATGTCGCCACACCGCGCGACCCCGCGGTGGGAAGCGGACACATGTATGCCTCACTTGATTTATCTCCTGTAATACCATTACGAGAGCATTAAGTGCTCTGCTAGATGAAATTATGTACCACTTACTGTTTTGTAATAAAATAGAAGCTTACACGAATTATTTGTACATGGGTCAAGTTTTATTATTTCTTCAAGTTATGGATTCTTTAATTAATACTTTAATCAACCCACTTGTTATCCACTAAGTTGATTTGATTATGCAGTTGTGATTCGTGACCATTAAATATATCTTATAGTGACAGCCGCAATGAAATTATTCTAGCAATATTAACCTGCAATACAGAATCAATTGAGTGTCCCAAGCAATTAACATCTATTTCAAATAAATCTTGTAGAGAATAAGCTCATAAACTAAGTTTAGTTTACCGCGGACGTTTTTGTGGATGAGAGTAAGCAGCGGGCAGCGATGGTTATCGGGCCCCGTAAATAAGGGCCCGGGCGCGTGACAAGCTTGGCCATTAAGGGCGCGCGGTGACGGCCCAAGTCGCGACAAGACGCGAAAAAAAACCGCGCCCTCCTGTAGGTACTGGCTGCATAATAATCAGATGAGTATATTTTGAATTAAGACGCCAAAACTTTACTTGAAATGTAAAAGGAGTAACTGCCATTTTGCATCGTTCTGTTTTGATAATCTATAGGTATTATTTCAATAAAATATTGATTGTCATGCAGTTATCGATGTTTTTATTGTAAATATTAATTTGGAATGGGCACTGATTGCAATAATAACGAATAAACGAATTAGCGAAGGCCCAAAGGATCTAGTCGGTTCCGGTAGACGCAGAATAAAATTTTATTTGATTATTAAAACCTTTACCGTAGCTTTACATAAATTGTTTAACTATGCACAAAGTGCGGTTGGCACAGTGGCTGGGTAACTAACAGCTGCGCAACAATTCTTTGATTCACATAATCCGGGGCTAGGTGTTTTGTGTTTGTTGAATTTTTAAACCTAAGTGGGTTTACACATAAAATATTTTTTTTTAATGATTTTATATAAATATAGACTCATAACGACGTCAGTTTTAACAAAACCCTGTTAAAATAAAACGTGAATATTTCTGAGTAACGTTTTTGTCTATCGCTACAATAACAAGGTGCGTCAAAAGATAGGAAATGTAAATAGCGTGCTGTCACCGCACTGCAGTGTGCACAGGTCCTTAGCTACGCGACACACAGCCTTATCTACTACAGGGGAAAGGTGTCGAACAACTGACAACTCTGCCTAGCCCCCTTTACTACCAATTAAACCCCCCATAAAGGCATTTTTCAACCTTGTTCCGTGTTAATTGTATTAGATATAGTTTTTATTGTAGTAAATTATAATTTAAATACCTAAAAAAATTTTGAGACAGGCGCCTAAGATTTAAAGAATGATTATTGAACTAATTAGAATAAATGAGTGTAGGGTGTAGATGTAGATAATTTGCATAAGTAATGACCCGTCAGTTTGTTATCGGATGTAATCTTACATCATGGTTTCACGTTAAAACTTGTGTTTCTATACTTTGATGGCGGTTATGGATGCCAAGTAGGTACCTATTGTTAACAACAATTGCTTGGTATAACCATTATACCTAAGTAATAGTAGATTTTATGAACAGACAGGTTTGTTTTCATAGAGTAACAATGTATAAAGTCCAATATGGTACTGTATAAATCTTATTGCTGTTAATATAAATAATAAAAAACTATAACTGAAATTTTGTGTTTGTGAATTAAGTAAGCTTCCAGCTTCACAACTTTAATTCAGTAACTTTTGCAGTAACCGTGACTCATTTACGAACAAGTTCTGTAGCCAACGCCTTTATTTTAAATTATTAAGCTTTTTACAAGATAAAATAGAAAGAAACGAGGTAATACTCGTATCTCTTAGAAGTTCAAAAGAGTTGTGTGTGATGTTAATGTTGACGGCACGGTTGGTGCGGTGGCCGGGCAACTAGCTGCCGTGCAACGTGTCGCGGGTTCGATTCCCGCACGGAACAACTCTTTGTGTGATCCACAAATTGATGTGCCGGGTCTGGGTGTCATGTGTATGTGAAATTGTATGTTTGTAACAGCACCCAAGACACAGGAGAAAATCCTAATGTGTAATGTAATGTGTAAAAAATGTTTATTAAATGATTCACACGCGTGTTTAAGTTAAATATATGAGGATATCTATAGACAATAACTTGTTAAAATTTGAAAGTCAATAAACTACGTTAATTAATTAATATAACCTTTTATTTCGTTATATTAACTGTTCATTTGTTCTGAACTCATACTTATCGCTAAAAAAGGTCCAAAGATTGCGAAACTATTTGTGTTCATATTTTAAAGAAATTATAAGACTAATCGTTTACGTTATCAATGATTTTCTAAAAGTTAATCCCTGAAAACTGAATGAAGATAAAAACTATGTCTTTTTACTTTCTTATAAAAATCCTAATTATTTACTAACAAGATCCTGTCAGCGACTTAACACTGCCTAACCTACCGGCCAAACTATACTCAAGTTTGTTGAATAGTTTAAACGAAAAAGAGTAAGAAATATCCACCCATCCATACTAATAATAGAAATAAGATTCGAAGACGATTAAAAATCCGAGACATTCTAATGATGTATAGGTTTTTTAATCTATAATATTATTTCACTACCTATTTACTACGGTAGAATATCTGCAAAGGAAAGGAAGGATCTGATATTTATGTCGTGGGATCACCCTCGTCTCCCAGCTTCCACGAATCCGCTGGGACTTACCTCGCTCGGCATCCTGTACCGAAGGACCAACGTATTCAAATTACACGTGAAAAACGATGTCGTTAACATTACGAAGGACCAGCTTCCTTTAGATTAAATCGATACTATTGATCCGTTATTCAGTTTTAGGTTTTTCGGATATCCCAAAGTTTATGGCAGATCTTAATTCACAAATATGTATTACGATAAATGTCATATAGAGAATTCATCAAATTATTCTTCATAAACTCACAGTCACTGAATCAAAATGCTGTAAAATGCACTATGGGGATGTTTTCCCCATAGCTTATGCTTTTTTAAAACTCAAGTTTACATATAGCTTACGTTTAGTGTCTATCTAAAGTGCTAAGTTCATCCATGAACTTTAATTTTTGCCATATAATTATGTCCTTAATTTTCATATATGTCATTTTATATAATATGTCCTTAATTTTTCTCAAATTAAGGACATATATCAATCGTAATGTTTTAGTTCAATGTTATACTCCTAGTGTTTGAAGAACATGACAAGAAAAAAACTTTAGTTTACATGTCACAAATCATAATTAAGAAATATTGCAAAGTAATTGTGTCAAAGTTTCCTAGGAATCTGCTTTCTTTGATCGTATCTTAATTAGTTTCCATGCTTTTTTGTTTTAAAGTGAAAGCTCATGTATGTGTTTAGTTGTTGTTATTAATGCAGTCGGGTCGTCGTGTGAGGAAGTCCTAATTAAATCGCCATACATCACGGCGCTGTGCGGCGTCCGTGCACGCTCTATTACCAAAGCTGCTACTACGATGTCTGTGAGATTTATTAAAGTAAAAACTTTAAAAGTTACAAAACTATGAACAAATAATGTTGTTTCTTTGTCTAAATAAAGCTAAGCAACATTTTTATTATAACTTTCGTGAGACATTCTAAATTAATTATAATGTTTTCGGCTTACTCACTTTGACGAGATACTCGAATAGTTTCAAGCCATGCTAGAGGCCCATATTCATGAGCAGCATTCTATACATACAACATACCTTTTTCTTCAGTAACAAACGTTGTATGTATAAGTTTGTAAATATCAAATTAAAGATAGGTAAACCAACAATTAATGTTTGTATACTTACTTGATCAACATCACTATCAAAATAATAATGTCTGATAATATACCTAATAACCTATCTACCCGACAATGCATACTTACATAATCTACATATTATAAAAACTTTAATAAATTCTAAAATCTCACTTTTTTCTCATCCTTGATGAGTCGTAACCCAGTGGTAATCCCTCTGGTTCCCTATTTCGCAGTTAGTCATCCCGAATGGTTAATAAATTCCCTGTCATCGCGTCTCTACGCTTCACATACTATTTCTGGAGTTATGGTTTTTTTTAGATGGCGTGTTTTTTCTTTACGTATTTCGTGGGATGAGTATCGCGTGCTTTGTTTTGGAGGCGGAAAGAAATTTAGAATTGCGTATATTTCTTAGAGTTGGAAGATATAGTTTTAATAGGTATTGTTCTTATCATTCGTCAAGTAGTCCATGACGCAAATCATTGTTGGACTGTGAGAGCTTCCTTGCTCTTGCCGTCTTGGTTTCGAGCCCCGTGATGGGTAAATTGTTGTTGGGCATTGTTTTCCAAAATATTCAAAAGTATTGTGATGTTTAGCAGGTGCAGTTCTTTGTGCTTCAGCTTAACGGGGATGTGGTAGCGATTTTCATCAAAGTTGTACTTATTGCTGTACTCAGAGACCTTCGAAGTCTAAATGCTTAAAATAAAAGTAAAGTGACCCTTAGCAGCGATTTTATTTCGAATTCCTTAGCATTGAGTTGAGTAACCTATCAATGATACAGTAATGCGGTTAAACTTACTAAAGTCTACCGGATCTGTTATACACAAAGTAAGAATAAGTAGACTGAGGTTACCTTAAATGTCAAGTTCGTGTGTAGAGTGCGGTACCTACTAAAGAAACATAAGCTACATTTTAGTGCTTAATAATCAAACAAAATATAAACTGACTGCATTCTGTTTAAGCACAAGATGCTTTCATCTTGGAAGAATTAGCGATTTAGACAAATGCATATTTACACAAAAATAAATGTCTACACCCAGCGGATCGGTGACAAAACGAATTACAATCGGATCTATCTACAGAAAGCGTCACGTTCGATTACAGTTCGTGTCTGCACGTAATTCGCGCCACGTGCGTGTGCGCAGCGGAAATGTGCCATCTGCGCTCAGTTAGTGGCGCCACCGTCGGACCAGCTTCCGGAATACCGCGAATTTTGAATAAAGGGTGGCTCGATATCTAAGACCTATTTAGGAAACAACTGACACATCGTATTAAAAGATGAAATGATAAAATAGCGAATTAGGCGAGACAGTTGGATGCATTAGGTGTAACTCAAGTAGACTACGAATCCTGTAGGGTTAAGTAATTATTAGAAATTTTAGTGAATTCATATTTATTTATATTTAAGTTACTTGGAAGCGTTTTTGTTGATTAAAAAATATAACGTAACAAAAAAGCCATTACGAAATGTTAAGGAGATTAACAAAAAATCAGTTCCCAAATTAAAAGGTACTCAGAGCCAGTTTAAAGCAGAGCTCCCAAGTAATAAATAAGTCCGCCGCCCATAGACAATCAACTACAAGTGGTCATAGATAAGGGCGCAGTAAAACGCGCGCCAAGACCGTGTTATCTGAGCTGCGCACGCGCACGCAGCATAGACAAACCTTCTACAAATTTTACGTTTCGTTAACATAGTGTCGGACTGTTTCTGATAACGATATACTGGCTTGTTGCCGACAAACGTGAACTTAGATAGGCAGCCAATTAAATTTTAGATTATCAAATCCCTAAATGAGTGTTTTTAAAATGTAGCATACATGTAAAGGATGCGAGGAACTAAATTAAGTAATTAAGATTGAAGCCAATTTAACGAATTAAAAATGACACATTGTAAAGGTATGAAATAAATCTTTATAAAAAAAACGCCAGCAATTAGAATGGCGAGACCACTTTTGAAAACGTTTAACTTCAAACACAATTTTGAAGAACATCTTAATCATTACGAGCGGTCGCGCACAACGCACGTTCGCAGAAACAATTCGTAAATGACACAAAACCGGCGCAGGAGCAGCGACAAAACAAAGAGATTCGAATATTATCTCAAATCTTTATAATAATTACAAGAGACAAGTGTACGTCTCAATCCGACGACGCGGCCGATCTCCACGCATGCTGAATCCAATTACCGAGAGCAGGCGACCGAAATATCTTTGCATTCAAGAAAAATAATCGTTAAAAAACACACGACTTGTTTTGTACAACCCTAACTTTTGAAAATTTGACTGAGAACCACCTTTCAGTAGTAGGCGATAGAGTTGAAATTCAGTTGTGGCGTGTAAAGTCCTTGGAACGTATTATTCCTCAATAGGTATCCCTGGAGGGGCGGGGCGTGTCCCCACTCCGCGCGCGCTGGGGGGTGGGACAAACGTCAGTCGAGCACCAGCGGTGGGGGATGACAGATGTCTGTCTGTGAGCATCGTTCATATCTCAACACGATAGCGAATTCAATTCTCAATAAATAATAAGGTTCGCGACGTGTGCCGTACAATGCTGTCTGTCAGTGTGTTTGCACACGCGTGATGATGGAGCGGCGACGAGGGCCGGCGCGACGTCCCAACTGTTATTATTAAATCGAGTGACTCCTCGAATCCAAACATTTGATTTAGCTGTGCTATTAGCCAGCCAAATGTTGTTTGTCATTACGCTAGTTATAAATTCTGTCCCTCTCGGCTAAATGAGCGGCGCTAGTATATTTGTACGTGATTGCAATACATCTGCTGTGGACTGACGATTGTTTTTTGTTAAACAAAGCGCATTGGTATGTGAGACTATATGTATTTGATTAAGTCAATTTGTATTTGTCCAACATAAAGCTGCGCTAGTCAATATTGGCATTGCTGGCTCATCAGCCCCTGGAAGCTCAAGGACATGATGATTTTTGTTCTAATACTATAATAATATTATATAATCTACCACTTGTTATGTTATTCTTTTAGGGTAAATTTGTGTGAAAAAGATAGAGGTATTACGCAGTAATGTGTACTTAGGTACTTTAAATTTTTAACGCTTATCAAATATACCTAACTGTTATATTTCTAAAGAACAAATGTAGAGATACTTCATAATTGATTAACAGTGTGTCACAAATGCTATCGCAAGTATCTTCCGTAGTCATCTCGTCGTCATCTTATAGTATAAATAAAACAAAATCCTTTCCAGACGTTTAGAAAAACATACATAAAGAAAAGGTGTTTTTAACAAATTGGAACCAAAAATAAAAAAATAGACTTATAAGGTGGTAGAGTCACTCATCACAACTTGTGCATTTGAAAGTTACGATACAGGTTACAAAAGGAAAAATATAGGGAAAGTAATTGATACAATTTTAAATAATGTAGGTAAGTATTTTGTACAATTTTTATAAGGAACAATTAAAAAAAAAACAATAAAAGAACATTGATAAACCCAATTAAGTAGGATGCAGGACCTATCTAGTATTTTCATGAAAGAAAAATATTCGTACCTACAGACCGTAACAAAAAAAAAAATATCGAGTGAAAGGGTGGGTTTGTTCATTACAGCGAACAGCCAGCGGACATCCGGCGGAAGTAGGCGGAGCGTAGAAGCCGCCATTTTGCGACGACCGCGCGTGCGCGCCGACGGCGGACGACTTTATAAAATAATAAACAAAGCGGAATATCGGGGCGAAACGAATTTCGGGAACTTTTATATTCCTCAGAGGCTTATGTTAAAATATATGGATAATATTCCCGCGGAGTTGGTGTGGGATTACTGTACGCCACGATATCGAGCCTCGTAACGTTATAAATTGTTGCGCGGGTCCGTGTGGCCAACATTACCTAATCCCAACATATATCGCTCATGTGTGGGAAAGAATTTATTTCAAAGAAAGGAAAGTTTATTAAAAGGCCAAAATTAGTTTATTCTACGTTCTACATGATTTGT